GAAGGGAGCCAGGGAGCAGAGAGGGYAGAGGGCTTCCTGGGACCTCGCAACAGGGCTGGACCTGAGAGCTGCTCCAGCCAGTGCTTCCTGCCTTGCTTGTCCACCCCATGACATTATCATTAGCTTTTCTGCCCTCACCTCCCCACATCAGTTATCACATGGATCCAATATCTCACGGCTAGAGAAAACCCAAAACCTTGCTTGGATCAGCATGAGAGAAAATGAGTTCAAGTTAAGGGGCTGACCGCTTTGCATGGGGCCCTTTTGTGGCACTTTGCAGGTGTAAAAAACAACCCCRTACGTAGTCAAGCAACCTGCCCAGATCTGTCATCTAACTGCAGGGTCAGGAAACAAGGTGGAGAGAGAGGTCTAATATACACGTACGATGAGAGATTGACAGCTATTTCACTGTGCACTTCAGCGAGGAAACCGCAAGGACAGCCACACTGGAACGTGTTTTTCCTCACCACAAGTAATTCACGCCAGGTGGAGGGGCCCTCTTGGTGCACGAGGAATCCTGCAATTTGGGGGCTGCTCACCTCGGAGAAGATGGGCCTGAAACTGCACACGAAAATCCTGTTCTACCAGACAAGCTGCAGCAGCAGGAGGTGAAGTTATTTGTGCAGGGGACCTGCCTAAAGCAAAACAGCAGGGGAACACCTGCCCGGGAGCTCGCCCGTGCAAAGCCACCACATAGTTTGCCTCTCGGGGAGTTTTTCAAAGCAGGGAGTCACATTTGACAGGCTTCTTGCTTTGCACTTGCGGAGCATCTCAGTGGGCACGAGCAATTGCTTTGGCAGGAAGATTCGAGGGTGATTTCAACCATGGCAGTGCACGTTAGTAACCAAGCACAGAGCAATCACAGCATGGCCTGGACAGTAACCACTAACGTAGATGTCTCACCTTCCAGCTGCCTGACTTAGGAATATACCACATTATAAACAGCACTTGCCCTGGAAGCTTACAATTTGACTAGACAAGGTGGGAAAAGGGCAGGAAAGGGAAATGTCATTTCAGGCATTTCCAGCTCTCCCCTCCTTGCTTCAGCCCTGGGACTTTCAGGAGTGCGGGACCCCCGGTCTGCACTTTTGGGATTGAAGCACCTGAACACCAAACTCCAGCAACTGTGGCACAGCGACCAATGCGTAGCTCTCATGAACCCTTGTCCTGCTGGCTCTGGCATCTGCTTCTCTCCACTCCAAGGCTCACCAGCRTGACCAGAGGGTAGGATGCAGCTGCACCCTGGGGATCCAGGCATGCTCCAGCTTTCCACACTTGGAGTCTTCTTGTGGGGAAGAAATAAATAAATAGATAAATAAATTTACAACTAAGGAAACAGATACACCTACCAGAAATGACACTTATGCTAAGGGTTTTTTTTTTTTTTTCCTCTTTCTTTTCCTGTTACATCCTCTGCAAGTTGAGAGGGAATTTCCTGCCCCAAATGCAACCCGGAGAAGCCCGTGCACACTGGGATGCAGGGCTGAGAGGGGAAGAGCCCCAGCACAAGACCTGAGTCCCCACGTGRGTGCAAACTGCCGGCAGCCGAGAGCAAAGGGCTTGTGCAGCGTGTGCCGTGACCCAGGGTGTCCTTGCGAGTGCTGAAKGTCCAGCTCCACTATAAAAAATCTGAAAAAAATGGGACTTTGAGAAAAATAACCCAGCATTTCTCAAGGCTCCCCAATGAATGGTAAGAAGCAGCAGGATTATCGCTGCCAGACCAGGGGAGAAGCTGCAGAATGGAAACATCCATCCCTTCTCGATGGCCTGTGACAGCAAGATGTTTGTGTAGAGGGGACAGGACCTTTCCAGAGGGCTCACAAGGTTTAGAGCACAAAACATTAGTTATTGGTTTCCTTTTCTGCACTTTTCTTGGTTTCGGACATCCAAAATAAACGTCACTTTTGTTTCTTACTTGGGGGCTGGAATCAGTGCTGTTTGCTGCTCAGAATTATATGGGCACAAAGAGGGGTGAGAGGRAAAAAAAAAGAAAGAAAAAAGTTTCAAATGGATGCTTTTATGTTGAAATAAAAGTCCTAAGAAAATGATAACATTTACCTCTTCCAGTGCTAAGCTATTTAGGTATAAAACACTTTAATGCTAATACAGACAATAAACATGAGTTTTAAAAAAATAGCTTTTTAAAACCAATATAGTTATGCCCCTAAAACTTTTCAAGTGTAGACAAAAATAACCACATAACAGCTTTGTAAGCAATACAGCAGCATCTAACAACAGCTTTGTAGGGCCCTCTGGACTCTGAACAGTCACATATTGTGTCAACACGAGGCACTTGTAATATTAATTATCAGTTACATACACACAAGCACATTCTCTTGCACCTAGAGTATTGAAACCTTATATTCATTTCCAGCCACTTGCATTCCAAGTTTTGCCCTAGCCTAAGGCTCGAACAGTTGGCTTGAGTGCTTTCCAGGGGATTTTCTTATTCTTGTTCAAGAGCTTACTGTCACTGGTTGCCTTTATTTATTGCACTTTGGTAACAGAGTCATTTCTGTTGGCCCCAAGCATTGGTTGAGCACAAGGAGGTAAGCTGAGCTTAGAAAAGGGTAATTTGAGACTTTGTTTAGGAACCTGTTTTTTGGGTGGTATAAAACGTTTCCCTCATTGCAAATTAGAGTCATTTCTCTGGAAATTAGACCTTGCAACCACAGCCTCCAAAGCCCAAGACACTGAAAACGCTGGCTACAGTTTTTGGTACCTCTTAGACCTGGTCTGAGCTGAAAGTGACTCAAAGGAAAGTCTCCTCAGGAAGGATGTGCAGGAGAAGCCCTGACAAGAAGGAAGAACGGTCTGTGTAATAATTAAAAGGGGACTGTACCATGCCATAATTATCCCAGGCACTTTGTCTTGCCCAGAGCATTTGGAATTGCAGCTGTACATAGACATTAGCACTACAGCTTTTTTTTTTTTTTTTTCCTCCCCTCCAAACTATTTACAAAAAGGAAAGAAAAAGCAGCCCCTGGGCGATACAGGAGTATGCTGAACAGCGTACAGAAGCCCTGAGCCCTGTGGCAGGAGGAGAGGAAGGTGCAAACCAAGCCACGACTGCGGGAGGGTCTGGCAGGGCAGGGGTGACTGGCAATACTTTGTCCCCCAGACACCTCTGGCTGTTGCAGTGCTGTTGAATTCATACCAAGGGACCTGCAAATGACCTTTCAGCTGCTCTAGCAGTTCAGCACACTCGCAGCAAGACCTACCAAGCCCAAMACCTCCCACCATATGAAACCTGGCTCCGTTTGCAGTGTGGAGCCTTTGGGGGACTTGATGGAAACATTCTATAGCAATAGATGCTTTACAAGCCATTGAGCTCTGCCAGGCTCCTCCCGAGCCCTCCAGACCAGTTTGTTAGCACATCCATCCACAGCTCCTCAGAAAGAATGGCCTGTCTTCCCTTGCTCCTGTAAAATGGTTTCTAATCTAGGAGCACCTCCCCGCAGGACAGAGGGGAGGTTACCGAGAGCAGAAGCAGCTCTGTCCCTTCCCCACACCTTCTGGGCTGTCCCAGCTCTTCAACCCAAGCAGTCCCTGAGTGGGAGCCGGGCTTGGGTCCAGGGTCGGCCCTGCTGTTCACCGAGAACATCCTAGGAAGAAGGTGACAGGAGAGCAAGGAAAAGCAGCCATGTGTTGGGGTAGGGGCCYGCAGGTCACCTCTTCCCTGGCCTGGGACTGAGTCCGTGTTAGAGGAACAGCAACCTCCATCCCTGAGGGCATTTATGGCCTCTGGGTTGGGCTGGCCCTGCACACAGCCCTCCTCAGCTTTCCCACAGAAAGATTTCTTTGCATTGCACAGAAAGAAATAATAAAATAATAATTAAATAGCAAAGCAACTGTGGTAGGGAAAAGGGRTCAGTTAAATTGCTCTTTAAATATATATATAATTATTTCTTTTAACAGTAGCTGGTGCAAACGGCAAGCTGTAGGGACTTGTACCACCAGAAGTCAATTTGCCCCAGTAGACTTCTGACCTGAGGCRTTTGGTTCAGAGGTGGGGGACAAGGACTAGCACCCCGGGGAGCAGAGCTAGGGACAGCTGGGCTGGGTCTCCAGCAACAGCTCCTCTCCCAGCCTAGCAGGACTAGGCGGCTTCTGCGGCAGCTCTGAACAGATCTGACCCTGGGCAGCACCCAGATCCTGCCTGTGGTCTCCTCTGGGCCCCTGATCCTGGGGACAGCTGGAGCCCATACAGCTGGGCTGGTTTAACCGGTGGAGCAGCCCCATTCTCTCCTGACAGTGCTGGAGTCAGCAGGAGCCTGGACGGGAGAAAGGCAGGGAGGGACTGGCAATCCCTTGGCAAACACACGGGAGAGACCCTGGATAGGCTCTGGGGCTGGGGGTGGGTTGCTGCAACCTTGCCCGGGGGGCAGTGCTGCCGGGTGTGCACAGAGGCACGTAGGCAGYGCGGCCATGGGCCCCGGGTGGTGGGTGCCCGGCCCGCGGGTTCCCAGCGCCTTGGCGCGGGGCAGCACCACAGATGCTCCCGTGGGAGCCTGGGTTCAGCACTAGCACTGCCGCTTCCCCCCACCCTTCCTAGCGGAGCCTGCAGCCCCTTGGCAGCCGAGGCAGAGCTGTGCATTGCAAGCACACTACCTGGGATTTATCCAGGGAAAGGCAGAAAGAACGCACGAAACAGCATTGCTCCCCACCCCAAACATTCCAGCCTTCCCTTTCCCGCCACTTGAGAGGGGGGTGTTTATTGACATTATGCAAGTGCCGCAGTATTTTTCTTTTTCCTTCGCGCCTGCCTTTTCTCTCTCTCTCTCTCTCGCGGGGGTTGCAAAGGTGGCGCAAACCCCTCCCGCCAGCCCGCCTTATCAGCCCAAGGAGACGCATTCCTCAGGGCTGCTCGCTCCGTAGTCGCCGCTGGCCGCGCGCCCATCCCCGCCGCCTCGCGCCCCGGCGCCGCCCCGAGCCGCCCCGAGCCGCCCCCCGCCGCCCGCCCGCGCGGGCAGCGGCCGCCGCGAGGCCGCCGCGATGGTCGCGCCGCGCCGCTGAGGGCGGCGATGCTGCCCCGGCGCGGGACCTTCGCGCTCCGCGCCCGAGGTGAGTCCCGGTGCGGCCCGCGCCCGCTGCCCGCGGGGCGGCCCCGCTCCGCCTAAATGCTGCGCTCGCTGCTCGCCGGCTGCCTCTGCGCGCACCCAGGTAAGCGGCGGTGGCGGCGGCTCCCGGCGCGGGGGGGACGCGCCCGTTCGGCGGCCGTGAAACGGGGGTCGGGGCGGCGTCGCCCCCGAGCGGGGGCCCGAAGGAAGAGGGGCTCTGCGGGGCAGAGCTCCAGGGCACGAGCGGATGGGAGYGCGCGACCCGCGCTCCGGGGATGGTGCCCGGCTTCGGGCTCGCCTGGGAAGGAGCAGTTCTGCCCCTCAGCCCTGCAAGGCTGCCCTATACCGGCCAGGATAGAATGCCACCTTCCCTAGGCTGGAGCATCCCCAACAAACAGAAACTGTGCTCACTTGGAGAGGTTTTTGTTTCTCCCTTCTGTTCTGTGAAGCTGAGCTGAGGGAGGCAGGGAGGGCAGCTCCGAATTTGCAGTAGATTAGGTACCACTTTGAAAGGTTGTCATCAAAGCATTTGGGGTGGCCCCACCTGCCAGGGTCTTTGCTGAGTTTGCCTTTGTGGCAGGTTTGGTGTGTCTCGCACCGTAACAAGTTGCACAGCTTCGAGCCCATGTAGCAGAACCTCATTTATGGGCAGCTTGGCTTGTACCAGCTGGAAACACTCTGTAGTGTCTGTCCTGGGTGACAGCACCGCGCTGGATCAGTTTGCTGAGCCCAGAGGTGACTGCAGATGGAGTTTGTCAGACCCTCGGCAGATCAGGCTGGGCGACAGTGCTGTGGTTAAGATTCTGCAGAACATCTACTGGAGAGCACTTTGTTCTGCCCAGGGTTGCACGGTCCTACCTATAATCTGACTCCTGTGTCTCTGGACTGCTGCAGCTCCTTCAGCCACCACAGACTGCCATGTTCAGGGGCATGTGCTCGGTCCCTCCCTGCCAGGAGGGCTCTTCCAGGCTCTCCTACTGGGGAGGTTTAGCTCAGTGTGAGCTAAAGACTCTTATGTGCCTCGCGGGCGACTCTGGGTCTGCTAGCAAGGGCTGCTGGAGCGCAGGCTGCGCCTGGGCTTGGTCTGGAGGCTGCCTTCACCCACCCTACAAAGGGTTGGCTTGCAGGGCCACGCTAAGGCAGTGCCAGGAGAGCAGCCCAGTCTTGCAGCCAGGTGTGGGGGCTGTTTGAAGAGATGCTCCCTTCCAAAGGGTGGAAACAGCCTTTTTCTGTTTTCGTCCTCCTGAGGAAGGACTTGGCTCTGAACTTTTTCCCCCAGGCTGCACAGCACAAACCTTTCAGCAAGGTCAGGCAGGAGGGGAGGGGAGGCTGGAGGCCTGCTGTGCCACACAGCAGCGTCCCTCAGCCCCCAGACAGTCACAGCCATGTCAGGAGAACGGGCACATCACACATAGCATTAAAGAATCGGGAGAGAGGAAATTAAGCTGGATTTTCTCCAAGCAAGAGACCAGGAGGGAGCTTCCTAAATCTTAGGTGCAAGGAAACATCAAGTACCCTGTTCTGGCTTGGGCCATAGCTTGGACTCAGAGCCAATAACTTGCTTTTGCTTGCCTGTTTCACGGCAAGGACTTTAAAGCTGCATATCCAAAGGCAGCTTGGGAGGGAGAATGCAAACCAGATGCCTCCTTAGCTACTTGTGTCATCGTTGCCTTACTATGAACATTTTTGAACTGGCAGATTTTAGTTGGGAAAGTAGACGGAATCTGGCCCTGCTTTCTTAGAGTTGTTGTAACAGAGATTTTTGGGGTAGCAGGACACCTTGCATCGGTAAGTTCAGCCGACTGTAGCAGCAGAACTCTGCATCACCTCTCCCTCCATGTTCTCCTACCAAGCTCCTTGCATGGCCACGGGGAGGGCCACAGAGAGCAGAATCCTCCCTGCTCTCACTTTCACCAGGGATGATTTCAGACCCCCTCGCTGGCAACGCCACCTGCTCGCTGCCACCCCCTGCGAGCTGGAGGCTCTAGGGTTTTGCCTGGGGACAGCAAAGACTGCACATAACAAACAGGTTAAGAGCTTGAGTGACCTCTCTGACAGGATTCATGAGTTCCTTTGGCTTCAGCAGAAGCACGGGGGCTTAACCACTTCAGGGCTGCAGGACAACTGTTTATCCAAGCTTATTATAGGCAATAAAACCTGAATTACTGCATAGCTGTCATCCCTGGGGGGCGAGTCCCACCCTTGCAGAGMGCCTTCTGTCTGCTAATCCGTTTCTGGCTGAATACTCCTGTGTGAGATGACACGACTTGCAGATCGCACCATCAAGGAAAGATCTTCCAACCTCGACATTTTTGCTAAGGTGTGGAATATYTATTTCCATCACTTTCTACTCAGATGCATTAGCAAGCTGTATAACAAGTGACATCTATATTATTATACAGGGCTGATCATGAACTACAGAAAAAGAGAAATAATTATATTGATTCTTGCTGAATAGATTCAACCAGGCTATGTTTCCTTCTGACACACTCCCACTTGAAGGGATATATCAGTAATTCTCAAAAGTCTCCGAAGTCAATGAGACAAAAGCAGTGACAACCAGTAAAGATCTCTCCCCTAGATTATSTTTGCTGCCAAATATCCACTTCCACTGTGACATTTCATCCTTCCTGGGCTCTCGTTAAGCCAAAGAGAGTCCAGTATTTTTCTGGTGAAGCTGGGTTTGTGAGGAAAGCAGGTAGAGCTTCCAAATTCACTGATAACCAAACTGCTTGTGCTTCCATAAAGGGAGGGCAACTACAGCACTAGGAAGAAAAGCTCTAGGTAAGGGTTTATTTCTGTAGCAGTCCTAGGCAAGGAGGCCAGAGCTCTTTTACAAATCTATTTCTTGTCATTTCATCTAGAAGGAACTACAACCATCTCTGAACTTGTGATTGTTACAGCACCCACCCGAGCAGATCCCATGGGGTTGGGTGGCAGAGGCAACAACCATTTGGCCACTGTTTCCTTAATTTATTGTTTTGAAGCTTTCCCCTGAAGGAACATACAGGAATTTCTTCCCCTAAGAATTGGTTCTGAAGAACATTGGAAAAGACGACAACTCTCACTAGTCTTATAAAGAAGCTTGGTAGATGCCTGGCATTGGCCCTGGGAATAATTTGCTGCAAAGCAGTCAGAACTTAGGCATGATCCCAATATGCTGAAATGCCCCCTAGTCATGTTTTCCTTCTTAGTTATTTATCTAAGGAAATAAGTTGTACAGTAGGTACAGAAAGGAGTCAGTGCAGTTCTTTAGCTAGTGCTATGCTCCAGGTAAGGTGCTTTAAAAGCGGTRAGTTCCAGCATGTCTAAGTAACCAGGATAAACCAGGTGATCAGTGGGGACCTGGTGTGCCCCAGGACTTTCTGCCAAAGGTCACTAATCTATCAGACCTGTCATTCTGTTTCGAAAGCTTCACAGGTCACTTGGACTAAATGGAAGCAAGCTGTAAAAGTGTCAAGTGGCCTCTCTACTTGGGAAACCATTTCCTCTTTAGTTTACCCAACTATATCCATTTGTAAACAATCAGTCTCCCTGCCATCCACTCATTGCTGCCTAAAACACCTGAAAACAGTCATTACTATCTCCTCTTCTAAAAATGTACATATTTAAGCAATAAATGACTTTTCAGCAAGTCCTTGAACTCAGTATTATTTGCACAGCACCTATTTTATATGGATTTATCATCACCTGCTGCAGCTGTAAGTCCATACCATTTCTAGGCCCATTATGTTATCAAACAATCATCCATAGGAACTTCATACATTTTCCACTAGAAAGACTGGAGAGCACCTTGTAACCAAAGGATCCGAGAACTTTGTGCTTTCTGTTTACAGACTCTATGAGATAAAAAGCTTTGTTACAATTACTGCTTTTCATTCAGCTTTGCAGTGAATCGGGCCATATAGGTACTCCCATGAAATCYACATATTTTTCAGTTCCCTGTCTGGGAAAACTGAAATTCTGAGAATCGGGCCTCCTGTGTAAATATTCACAGCCTCCAGACGGGCATGCATTTCTCTAAAGATAGAAGGTTTAAAATGACAGTTCCAGTAAAACTCATTTTTTAGCGCTGTGATTTTAATATCTTCACAAGGTTTTGCCCTTCTAGATAGTGGCTACAATTGCTGCACTGAAATGTCACCACAGGACCTTTCCATAACCTCCCACAGAAACATACTGGGCTCAAAGTTGTCCTGACTGTTCAGGAGAAGTCCTTGTTCAGTTGAGGCAGCTCAAGAGCCCCATCTGAGGGAGCCCTGTAGGCCGAGGCAGACTGGCAGGGTGTTGGGGAAGCAGCCTGTCTGCAGAGCCAGCCAAGCAGCCCCTGGCATCACCAGGATCTGGTCTTCAGCAGGCCCATGAGAACATCAGGAGACAGGGAAATCCTCACCCTATGGAAGCCAACGGCGAAGCTCTAGGGAGCTCAGTTTCACTCCCAGAGGAGCAATCAGGGATGGTTGCTGGTTTCTTTGATAACTTAAGAGGGATTTGATTCTTCCAAGTATCTCAAGATCCTGTCCATTCAGCTCCCTGTGACTATGCAAGGCCCGATCTATGTCCCCCTAAGGAAAAGCACAGCTCCTGCACACCGCATGGGGCAGCTGAGGGGCTGGGGCCGAGAACGAGGTGTTAATGCAGCCCCACCACACCCCGCACACAGCACATATGGTGGAAGAGTCAGCAGCAAAAAATGCCTATTGTTTCAGAAAGGAAGTGACCCTTTTTCTCTTAAATGGTGGGAAATTGAGACCTCATCATTGGTGAGAAGAAAAAAAACCCTCCTCTTTGCAGTGAAAGGGAAATACCACCTGAGCTGTATTGCCAAGAGTATTAGACAGCACTTAGCAGGCAAGGAAAATAAAGGGAGATGCTTTGTAAAGGCAGGCAGGCAACTGAGGGACTGCAAGGACTCAATGGCAGGAGCAGCCATTCACTTCTAGGTCATCGGCTTGACTCCAGCACACTAGTCACTGCTGCGTAACAGTGCTTCAGGAGCCTGTATGATCATCTCTTACTGTGCTCAGTCCTGTCCCAGGACCTGTGCTGATGGCATAGAACTGAATCCTGAAGCCTTCATGCACCAGAGCCAGACAGGGTACACCAGTCCTCTGCAGCATCATGAAAACCCCCTCCCAGGGGCCAGCTTGTGCATGTTGCTCCCGTGCAACAGGGACAGAGTGTACTAGTAGGAATGAAGSATGTACCTTGTTTTCCCTTGCAGGGCAGCTGTGCTTGCCTAGATGTTTKTGTATAGCAAAGTTACTGGGGCTACAGTGATCCAAGTCACTGGGATGCCTGCTCTCCTGTGCTCTGTCCCCAGGCCACCGTTTTAGAGTGCTGGAGTTCAGTTCAGAGAGGCTGCATCTTCCAGGCTGCACATGAGCAAGGAGCAGGTTCTCTTGAGCATTTTTGGATGCAGCCCTGCTAACACCACACACCACTGACCAGTTTGCTGAGCGCATCATCTTTTCAATGGTCCTGGTGACAAAGGGGGCTGTAATGGGTCCAACACTTCCATCACACACTGGTATCACCAGGACAGATAGAGATGAGCAGAGGTTGGGCTCCACTGTGCCAGCTGCCATGCACATGTTTGACACACAAACTTCCCATGCCAAACCATCTACAAATCAGGATGAACATTGAGAAAASGGATGGGCATGAGGGACCAAAGCAGGGAGAGCAGCAAAGGGCTGTATTATTGGTGAGATGATGAGCAGGATTTGTACTATGCAAGCAGCTCACAAAGCACTGTGCTGCACTGATACACCCACATGCAGCGATGCACCCTCGAGTCGACACATTAGAGGCCAAGGCCAACACTTTGGGCTCATGCAGAGCCCACCAGGGCTTGCACAGAAAGAACAGCCAGTGGAATGCTGCTCCAGGCTTCCTTCCTTCCTTCCTACACAGTTACAGAGAAGTCAGGACTGAATTTTGAATGCCCTGAAGCCTGGGCATGTGCGTATGGACCTTGGATACCTTCACTGGAAGGGCAGGAGCTTTTGCAGCAATTGGACCTGGACAGGACTGGGAATGCCTGGGAGCTTCCTTAACTGTCCCTCACAGGCAGTTTATTTGGAAGAAAGAAACTGCTTGATATTTAGCTCTTTGACATGCATCCTCCTTCCTTAGGTCAGGGATCTCTTTATTAATGCACTGGACTCTGCTCTGGCAGCTACTGGTTATTGTGTAACAGGAAAAGTGCACTTAGAAATGGACATTTTTGATTTTAAGACAAAACTCCAGGGACAGAGAGGGAAGCCTTGGGACTGCAGCTGTTAYGAGGATATCCACCTTTGAATAACTTAAGCATCTCTGACTGTTGAGAAGTATCCTAGAAAGCAGTTTGGAAGTGAAACAAAGGAAGGTTCTGGAAATTTAGCTGAGACATTTATTACTTTTGCTCCCTATTTGTTGTCACCTTCAGTTATGAGCTATGTTCCTGTCATCACCTCCCTATGGGACAGGAGAGGGTCTTACTCTCCAATTCTACAGGCACAAAAAGAGCAGCAGCTTGCCTAGAGATGCACACCTCCGTAACAGTCTGTTAGAGGCTTATATGACAGCCCAGGGAATCTGCTCGTTGCTGCTCTCTGTTACAGAGCCATATAACCTCTGAGATAACTACTAAGCAGGTAGCACAAGTCAAATTGAAACAACACTTGTCCTGGATACGTGTTTCCAGAGCTGCTGCAGGAGGTTCAAGGATACTGCAGTGGTTCCTATGCACACACAGCTCCCATCCCTACAGCACAACTGCACCAAGGTCCAAAAAAAAGCAATCAAAAAGCTACTTCTCTTAGATTCTTTTTTTTTTTTTTTAAACAAAGCAGGAAAGATGCAGGAAGCCAGCTCAGAAGAAAGAAAGGGGAGTGGGCAGAAAGAAAAACAAAACTCAAACTATCTGATTTCCCAAGAAAGCAGTATCCAACTTAGCAAGCCCACRGCACAAGTAAATACACCCTACCAACCTTAACACCACTCTTCATCTCACTGAAGTCCTTCCTCAGAGCTTCAGCCCCACAGCCCCATCACCTTACCTGCACAAGGCGCTCACTCCCACACCACCTTCCCAACTTTCCCAAGCACTCTCCAGTACTGTTGCACAACGCACTTACAGGTCTCCATCAGCTGAAATTAGTTGACACAACTCTAGTAGATTCTCTAGAAATGAGCTAATTTGTGGCAGCTGAAGGTCTGTTCTGGCCCACTTGTTTCTGTAGCTTTRCAGATGAGCTTTAATTGCACCCCTCTGGTGCTTGTTGGCAATGTGCATGGAAGAGCTGAGCATTTATGTCTGCATCTCTTGAGATCTGTGACAGATCTGACCAGCTTGTTGGAAGAACCATAGTTTAGAGTCTATAACCCAGTTGGTAAGAAGGAAGGAGAGACTATTCTTTCAGAAGGGTGAGGAAAGAAGAACTTGAGTTTCATGTCCTTAATCATTGGATTTTGTAGCCATCAGAAATATGAATTAAGGTACCTACCATCTTCTGTAACCAGTGAGCCCTCATTTTAATATGTTGCTTCCTGATTTCAGACAAAGAAATATTTGTGTAGGCCAGGGTGAAACCGGTTAAGCAAGAAAAAAGGGGCAGATTGAAAGACAGTGAGAGAATCTCCAATGAAATGCAAGCATGGTGTGATTAATAAATGAAGGCCACCAGATGTCTGTGGGAAATTACTGCACGCAGTAATTTTGGGTGAGAATGACAGCTGCATCATTTGTTCTTGAAAAGGCAGCACAACAGCTGCTTTCTAGCTGGCACACGGTGGTTTAGTTAGCTCTGTTGTGCCAGTTGGGATGGGGAGGCCATTGGAGTAGCTGATTAGAGTTTTATTTTTTCACACAATTACAGTGCTTTGTCTCTAGCTGCAGAGGCATCRCAGAAGGTGTTTGAGACTGAGGAGGTGATCTTTTTTCACTCCAGATCAGTAAAGATGTCACTTCACTTTCTCCCCCAGGCCACTGGTATCACTGAGGATCTTTTGCTGTGTGTAAAGCAGCAAGACAGGCTCCCAATTGCTTGTCCACAGTTCAGGGACCAGCACCTTCATCCCGAAAGGATAAAAGGGGGCTGCCCAGCCCTGTGTAGGCAGAGTTTTCCCCTGGCATTTCCTCAGTGCAGTCTTTCTCCTGTCCTCATCGCAGCCATGCACTGGTACCTGCTGGCACTGACTGTCCCAGACGTGGCTCCTCRCACTACAGAGATGCTGTGAATGGGACCTGGGGAAGCAGGCACAATTCTTTGAGCAGATAGAGGGTTAAAAGTCCCATCAAAAGTCCATCAGATGGGATTCTTTAYCTCCTTCAGCCCCATTGCAAATACCAGTGTAAAAAATTAAACCTGTGGCTGGTTGTGAATGGTGAAGGGCATCTTTCAAATGTATCCTAAGAAGATCTTAAGATAGAAGGATTTTAAATGAAGTACAAAATGGTTGTAATAGCTTGACTTTAATTAAACAAACTATGGGCATTGTCATGAGTTAAAAATCTGGAGGAGCGAAGGCAGGAAAGAGGGTATTTCAGAAATGGAGTGTTGTGGATTCAGCGAAGGAGGGCAGTGCGACAGAGCTCCCTTTGCTTTACTTCCAGCTGCAGGTCTCCTCTCTACTGACTTGCCAGCAATTATGTTTCCAAGAATGAATTTCTGAAGCAGCTGCTCATTTGATGTCAGGAAAAAAAAAAGGAAGGAAGGTAGGAGGAAGAGAATGAAAGGCAATAAAGAAGGAAGATATCCAGAAAAGCGAATGCACTCTGATGTGCTCTGGGTCAGGCAGTATGGAAGGGAAAGATATGAGAGAAACAGAAGTTTTGTATAGCAGCAATTCATGGTCCCAAGTCCTTGAAAAGATGGATTTGGATCCAAGATTTGCATTTTGCTAAGGGATGGATGCAGGGCTGACACACTGGCCCTCTATGAACCGGAAGTCTGGGTTGTGAAAATCTGAATTTAAGAAGAAAAAAAAAAAAAAAAAAAAGTGAAATGCTGGATTCAGCAAAACACTAAAGAAACCTCATGTCTGATCTTCAACTCAACTCAAGCAAATCAACCTCTCATCTAGAAACTGTTCTAGAGATGATCCACATCACTGTGTGAAATGACTGAGGTGGAAACAAATCTACTTTGTCCATATGCAAAAAGACTCATGAACAAAGCTACTCTTATAATCTTTCTGTTTACAAGGAAGGTAGGACTTCATTCAAAGAAGTGATTTCATACAGAGAGCAAAAGAGATCTACAGTGCTTGGTTTGATTTTCTTATGAGTACCTACTTTTCATCACCCGACTGTGTGCAGTGAACACTGCTAACTAGTTGGCAAGTTGGTACAACTCCAAATTTGCTTAAGTCTGCAGAAATCCTTATTCAATTCTGCCCTTTTCTGCTGTTTCACAATAAATGCAATCAAAGGAAATATTTTAGACTTTAAGTTAATGTTTATCATGCTGAAAGAACATGCAGTCTTCATCTGTACACATTAAATCACTGGAAAGTCATTTGCACTCTTGAGTTGTTTTCTACCTATGTAATAAATCAGAACTCTGTGCATTTAGGCTTCCCTGGAGCAGTCTGGGTCTACACAGTTTGGTTCATATAGCTTAAGAAAAGTTCATCAGGACTGCCCCGCATTCTGCTTCCCTAGTGTAGACAGTTCTACCATTCCCATCCCTCAGGGGATGCACTATGGAATAAGCTGAGTTTTGTAGTGTCTTATGATGATTTGCTTCTTTTTAATCAGGTAAGAAGAACCCACCTGCTGAGGACACAGTCGTGCTAACACACATGAAGATACTGAGCAATGAAGGAATTCAAAACCCAGGGTTAATCTCTGAGCCTCCAGATGAAACAGACTGCACAGAAAGATCCCGTCTCCCTGGCATCAGCCTCCCACCGGAGAGCCAGGGAAACCTGAATGCAGCAGCCACACCAGCAAATCCGGATTATGGAGATACCCAGGCGAGCACAGACTATGTAGCCACACTGCCTGAACTGAGCGCCTTTGAGCCCAAGGGTCGACTTCACAGATTCTCCAAATTTGAATCAGAGGACTCGGGGGTTGAACTGCCTAGTGGGGCTAATTCTCCATCAACRCCAACAGGTTCAGAGAAGAGCTTTGTGCTTCACAGCAGAGACTCATTTTGTGACTCTGGGGTGCTTAGCACCTCTTCTTCTCCTGAGATTGACCACCTGATAATGCGAACATGTAAAGAGCGGGTCAGAACAGCTAGTCACCATAGGCCAGAGAGTGAAAAGCAAGCTGAGGACTACAACCAGGAGGCAGATGATGTGCACGTCCCCACAACTTCCCCTGAGGACATCTGTGTTCCTCAGGAAGGAGGAGGTCCCAAACAACATTTTGACCAAAGTAAAAGGCAATCTCTRGAAAAACAACCTACCCAAGAGACAGACCTTCCCAGGGAAAACACACTTCCTAACCCAGCTCCTTTAGAAGAGACAAAGACAATTGCTGAGCATTACCCAGAGACCTTTGGCAGTGGGCAAGACCTTCAGATCCATGAACATCAGCTGAAAAAGTACCCCACAAGTGACAGTCTGGATGAATACATGGATGAATGCTGTAGACTGAGCGAGGTAAGAAAGACGTGTAAACTGTCTCTTGTAGATAGGCTTGTCCAAATAACTCATTCATATTCTGTTGTCTGTACCAATCAGCAAATGGTTGTAATTGATTTTAAGAGCTCTTTTTTCACCACAGTAAAATTCTAAAGTAATTGACATTTATTTGTGCTGGACAAGGTTAACAGCTCATGAGCTGCCTAACAGCTCATGAAGATCTGATGATTCACAGAGCCCTAGATTAGAGCATGTAATGGCTTCTGGCTTCTGCTGTTAAACACAAATGTTGTGAAGTTAGACCCTGTAGATGACCCAACAACTTGCGGGGTTGTACCACCTCTAATGTATAGGATGAGGATCAGAATGTAGTGCCTTTTTGTAAGGCCATGTTATTTCTACTCCTGGATGGTTGCTGGAACAAGTTAGGAAGAACTTGTCTAAGGTCCACCTGATTCCTTTTCTAGTCTGGGTTGGCTCAATGGCCTCAGTCTTGTAGTCTTATAGTGAATAAGACTAATAGTGAATAACTCAGTCTTATAGTGAATACGAGCGAATTTATGGGCAAACTCCTGCCTTTGCTGAGCTGGAGCTCCCATTTTAACTCACCCTCACAACTTGACGGAAACCTGTATATTTTGAGGCTGCTACACAGAGGTCTTGCGTATCTGCAAAGACATATCATTTTCAGCAGCTTGTCCTACTCCGCTTCCCCATCGCTAGGTGTGCTGTGCAGCTGCTCAATCAGCCACRCAGCTACAGAATCACTTCAATCACTGACGGGCAAATAAAAAGCCTGTCCGTCCACCTGCTCCCACACTGAATGCTGGCCAACGCTCGCTCCGGTGTTTGCCCAAAGCCCCACACCGACCTGCTGACAGATTGCTTCAGTGCCGACCTGCTGYGGCAGCTTCCAAGAACCAGCGATGAAAAGATCTAATGGGGAAATTAATTCTTGAGAGAGAGAGAGACAGGCASACAGACCAAAGAGCCTCATGAACAAGAGGAAAGGATAAGGCATGCTAGATGAGGAGCTGTCACACAGACACATAAAGCACATTGAGCAGGGCATAAGGGGCAGTTCTTTTCGATAGATGCAGTGTGCTCATCTCTCTAGTCATCAAAGCAGCAGGGCCTGCCCGTCACAGAGGCCAGAAAGATAAGGGTACTGAAGCCTTSTACTCTAAAAAGATTTATTTATGCATCCTATTTACTCCTTGTTTTAGGAGAAATTAGGTGTCYGAACCTTTAGAAGAGGTACTTTTTTATAATGTTACTCGAGTTTTGGTTGAACTGTAAATTCTGGTGGCTCAACATGAAATGTGCTATGAGGAGGAGTTACCAGAAAGTGATGGTCCCCAAGAAGGAGGACCCTTCCAAGATACCACAGAGGGAATCACCTCAAATCACTAATCAGGTCTGGGGCAGAGCAGCCTGAAGTTACCCGTCCTCAGGGCTGTTTTGCCATCAAGTGCCCAGCCATCACTTCCCACTCAGGCCTTCATTGCTGTGATAGAAGTAAATTAGGTTGGGAGTCAGRGAGGAAGCAAAGCGACAAGTGCTGTGTGCTGTCCATAAAATAAACACGCTTTACTGTGACCTTTGCATCCGGCCAGGAGCCACCAAGTGACGGCCTTCCCTTCCAGCACACCCAACCCTCCCGAGCAGCAAGGAAGGGCAAAGATAGACCCTTTAAGTCAGGCCCATCTCTGTTAACATGATATATCTAAGCAGGATTATCTATCTAGGATCACTGTGTGATCAATCTGAGCCATCTTGCACRTGCCAGCAGACAGACATGTGTTGGGCAATGGTTCCCAGACAGACAGAGACCCAGCCTTCTGACAGATAGCTGGGAAAAGGGCTGGAGCAAGAGAGTTTGGGCAAGAAGACTTCATAAGAAATTACCTAAATTCCCAATTGCGCTCTGGGGGGTTTGCAGCCAGGCTGACCTTGCCTGGCCGCCCATAACATTCCTTTAAATCCTTTGTGAAATGGAGCCTCAGTTTCCCAAAGCAAAATATTTAAATAAACAAGAGGATAAATTAGAAAGGAGCTGAAGAGGAAATGAAGCTCCCAGTTGCTTATCTCCCCTCCTTTTTAATATCCTCACTGGCGAGTGCTAAAGCTCTGTGCCCCGGAGCACTTTCCTTTGTTTGTTTTTCGAGCTGTATAAATACAGCTGTGGCCTGGACACTGGGGAAGTCTGCCCCTTTAACAGAGCCTGTATGTCAAGAGCAGCACTTTTCAAGCTGCTATGAAACCATCTAATGCCCAGGCTGGTTTCAGGAACAAGCCCCTGTGGCTGCYGCACAGCCCCGTGGCTGCTCCAGCCTACGTGCTGGAGAGCACCAGGTACTGCTTGTTGCAGCCCCGGAGCCTCATCCCTTTGCTGTAGCTACACAAGTGTCCCCAGTGTCACATGGCAGAGGCAGAATGGTGTGAATCTGTTTCAGAAAGCATGTCCCAGACAGCTATCCAGCCTTACCGCTTGAGGGATACATCTCGGTTCACCACAGCTGAGGTTGTGTTCCATGCTTTAACATTTTCCTGGGAACTTGTCCCAGCTACATGGCCCTTAGGACTCCCTTGTCTGGCCTGATTTAGTCTCAAGGATTCAGATAGCCCCTGAAATACACTCAAATGTTCAAAAAACAGCAAACCAATCCAGCATATCCTGCTTGTTTGCACAGCATGGCAAACCAAGCTGCGCCATCAAATTGATTCCTGTTGTGTTAAAGCCATGTGCCAAAGTAGGCACTCTTGTAACTCTCATGCCAGGATAAGCTTATTATGGCTGATAGCAGTTTCCTCAGTTCTGTTGCTGTCTTTGGAAGTACAGCGTCTAAATAACAGGAGCGCAGATGGGTTTCCCAGCACAGCTAGCTGGGGTGCAGCTGCCACCGTGGTTCTTGCTGGTGCTCTGGCAGCCAAGGTGGGTTCAGCCACTGGATGAGGATAGACCTTGAAGTCCTCCCAGCCACCTTCACCGACAAGTCCATGTCCTAGACACCAGGAGGCTGTCAAAAGCTGAAAAAAAGAGTCTGAAAAAGAGAGTCTGCAAAGACTGAATGTTTGGACAATCTGGATTCATTTGGTGAGGGCTTTGGCTGAAACCGCACACACATCACGTCATTTCAGTCTGGCATTTCTTAAACAAAACTTTTTGATCTTTTGTTTTGAACTGGCAATATTTTGAAATTTACCTACAGTTAAAAAGATGAAAGTCAGTGGAAGCTTTTAACACATGAAAGATCTTTGAAGCCAAAATAAAAGCATTTTCTTTTAAACCATGTTAAATGTTTTGAGTCAGTTTGGAGATATATATACTCTTTGATGCTTTTGCTTTGCTCTATAAAGTTTACATTTAAACCCAGCCCAATCCTCTAAAATAAAGACAGGGCAGCAGCAGCGTCACCAACAAATGAAAAAACTCATTATTCACATAGTGCTAATTACCCTTGGCCGAAGCAGTCAAAATACATTTCTACAGAGTGCAAGGATTTGGGGGAAGAACATGGCAACCTGTGACGCTCTGCCTGTGCCCTGTGCGTGCCGCTCAGAGGAAACTGGAAGTTATCAGCCAGCAYGGCCATTCCTGGACAGCAGGGTGGAGCAGAAATTCAGAAACACGCAGCACGATCCCTCTCTTTCCTGTTATTCACAAGACTTTTGGTGCTGTCAGCCCCCACTGAAAAATGTTTCCCTCTCAGCCCATGAGGTCACTGATGAGTTATGCTAAGCCCACGATGCGTGYGGGCAAATTACGTCCTTTGGCTCTTGGCGCGGTTATCGCACGGCCTCCTCCCCAGCCGTGCTATAAGGCAGCAGGAACAAGTAGTGGGGCATGTATTCCTGCATGGAGCAGCGTATAACTCCATGCTATCCACAAGAGAGAGTGAAAAGCGTGGCAAGAAGTGCAGAAATCTAAGACACTGCAAAAAGTATAGGTGAGCTCTAGTCTGGACAAAGCAGAGCTTTGCGTCCAAGCTAATTCTGCCTGCTGTCCTTGGCTTTTGCTCCCATGCCCAGCAGTTCTCTAGTGAGCCCAACAGAAGAAAGAGTCCATCACGTGCATCAAGGTAATTGCTTACAATTTAAATCAGGCAAGACAGAATATTAGAYAGATTATAAGAAATGCAGACTTTGGTTTTACCTCAGTTGGGCAAGAGACCTGAAAAATGACTGTCCTTGCATCTCCCACTGAACTTTGAACCATCGTATGTTCATATATATAGGGTATATCAACACAAGACATTGAAGCCAACACTGTTATACACACACAGGGACTGAGGGGTAGATTCCCAGGTCTGGAACCCTGGTGATTTCGAGAAAAACATGATTTTACACCAGTCAAAATATTGACAAAAAGGCTGTAGATAAGAGCTAAACTCCTAGTGCAGATGTTGGTCCTGCATTTTTCGGCTTCCTAAGAAACCTATGGGCTAGCAAAACTGTGCTGATTTATTGCTATCTGAGCAAGGCTACATCCACTGCAAATCTGTCCCCAAAACAAGTCTCATGCAGGCAGAGATCTTGGTTATACTGATGTAAAAGCAGCTTAGTGCCCCTTACCCAAGAGAGGCAAAACTTTAGTGACACAGAACAGCTCAGCAGAGGTGAAGATCCTGGCATCTGAGACTGAGAGTCTTGCTCAATATCAAGTATCTGAAAAGAAAATCTGCCAGCTGTTTGTACATCAAATTTTAAAATCCTACTGCAACTTTAACAGCCTGTTCTAAAATGGTGTCTGATCCCCTGCATCCCCACCTTCAATGAGTGAGATGTTCTTCGTGCATGGTTGGTAGTATCAGCTCAAAAATGGGTACACAGCTTTTGTTTCCCTCTATTCAACTATCTTCTAGAGAGAACTATGAAGTTCTCTCTAACTTTTGATAGATTTCCCTCATGCCTGCCCAAATCATACTTGCTTCCGAGAGMCTTCAGCCTTAGGCACAGACCATTAGAAATCCGAGCTACCTTCTGCTCTCCTCCACCTGCCTTCTTCATCCTACAAACCTAGCAGCCTTGAATACCAACTAGCATGTTAGAGTAACAGGTGCTGGACACACACGAAACAGAAAGATAGTTCCTGCACCAAAAAAAATAAGTCAAATGCTTCATGTTCTCTCCTCATTCCTGAGATGATAACCAAATATATATAWATTTAATTTATCTGTTTTTACAAGAACTCACCACCCTTGTGCTCTTTTCTTGCATTTGCACAGCTCTGCAAGGACTGGGTTTGTCTCTCTACAGGGCAATATAGATCTTCTAGTTATCAGTGGCTGCAACAGAAAACTGACATAGCAGCGATTTGCTAAATGCASAAAAAGAGGGAATAGAGTCACAGAAAACCTACATTTTCAAAKAGAATGAGGAAATTCTCACTGTCCATTTTGGGATAGTTTAGAAAGGCCTGATTTTCAGAAGCTGATACTTAGGTACTTTCTGAAAATCATGTTTGTGAAGCTGGGCACACTAAAATCACTAGCTGCTTTTGGAGGTGTCAGCTGCAGTGCACAGATCCCAGCTCTTCCCAGCAGGCASCGTTTGGGCTCTGCTCTGCCAGCGGGAAAAACATGAATGTGAATGACTGATTGCCTTGGAGTCATCATAGTTTTTCATGATTTCATGCAACCTGTGACCCAACCTCAGGCACAAAAGCATCTGGACATAATAATACCTATTTATAAATAACATTGTATCATCATTTGTTTAAAAAGAAGTAAATCCTAATGTTGATTATTTTTGAACACACCATGAGCTTTCTGACATAATGAAAAGACAGGAAGAGTCCCAAAGCTGGCATTTCCCCAAAAATGTCGATTGTTGTGGGAAAGGAGACAGAGTAAGCTTCCTGCTTTTGTAGAGGGAACTTATTTTTTGAAGTAAGATAAACTTAGAGCACTGCTTTGTAAAGATCTAGGTTTATTTTACTTACTGATATCACATGCACATCAGCAGGCAGCGCCAAGGTGGAAGTGGGACTCTGCATGTATTTTTTAGCTGGGTGTTTGACCGAGTCCATTCACAGTGCAGAGGGCAGCACATGTGTAACGTGCACGGGAACATCAGGGCAGAACCTGTGAGGTGCCGAGCAGGAGATGGGAAATGGTGCCACAGCAGCGAGGATCTGCAGGGCCTGGACAGGGGTTGATCAGTGGTACAGTCTGGTCGTAGCCCAAGTTATTTTGTTATATATAGTTATACATAAACACGGGGGCACTTGTTCACAGGTAGCACAAAGGCAGTACAAAAATTGCACCACCTCCTACAGCCCAGTTCCCAAATAGCTACTGTGTCTTGAGCACAACCTCCAAGCAGATGGATAAAGCTGAGGGCAGAGCTTTTTCAAAAGAGCAATACATGGTCTCAGAGAAGCACTGCACAGCAAAACAGTGCAACGCCTCATCTGCTGTATTACTCCTTTTGCTTACCTCGGGCTAGGTGGGACTGCAGCAGTCTATTTTCCCTTTGCTCCAGCTTGTGAGCAGGCAGAAGAGTCCTTCCGATGGAGCATCTAGCTGGATGGCTTTAGAAAAAAAAGAAAGAAAGGGAAAAAAAGAAAAGGTGTGAGCCAAAAAGTTCTAGCTTGGTTCTGGTTATAACCAAATTCTGTCATGAGAGGAAGCTYTGGTGGCTTCAAATATAGCTCATACTACTGTAAGAGGCAGGCTGGGCTTCAGCTGCTAATGAGGATTGCTCTGCTCTCACCCTGTGGTCTAAGCTTTACTATCATTGCAGGTGAACCAGGGGAACAGCAAAGCCCTGGGATCTGGCCTGGGATACTTGGAGCACATTTGCCAACTGATTGAGAAGATTGGGCAACTACAGGAGCACAATTTGCGGCTCCAAAAGCAGGTGTGCAGCTTGCAGAAAGAGCAGAAGATGAGCCAGATAAAGGAGGTAAGCGGACACCACCATATCCCTCATTAAATTATATGTATACGCTCAAGGCACAAGTGGAAAGGTTGAAGTGTTCCAGGTAGGAAAGAAGAGAATTTTCTTGACCCCATATTCACTTGAGCTGCATGGCCTGGTCTTCAGGGAACACTTACCAACCACAGCAGCCTTAGCCTCCCTTAGGGTGGGCTTAGGTTTCTAATTTTAGTCAATTTTGTTTCCCAAATGTTCTTGTTACCATGTGTTTGCTTACATTGAAGAACACAAGAGAGAGCATCTCTGCCTCCAGTAGCTCTGTTTTGAATTGAAGTCCATTTTGAGGCAAGTTGAAAGCTCTTTCTTCTCTTGCTTTCAAGCTATCAAAATCCCAGAATTCCCAGAAAAGAGGCCCAACAGGGGGAGAAGCTGTGGTACAACTACTTAGCCCTCATTTCTCTTTCCCCTACTGCCTTTCTGAAGTGAGCTGCCAAATGGAAAATCTCCAAATGAAATGTATCTGTGTGCTCCTTTGCCTTTTTTTTTTTTTTTTTTTTTAAATCAGCTGTGAAGTTTGACTCCAGTTTGCAATTCATTTCAGCCTCCTTTCAAACAGCATTTTTGAGCCCTCCACCTTTTGCTCAACTCTACCCAACCGCTGTTTTTCAGGTCCTTTTCTTTGGCCAGCACCGCAGGTTTCCAGCTCTTTCCTTCCCCTCCCTCTCTCCTGTCTACTTCTTATTTATTTTATCACCCCCAAAGGGACAGAAGAGGTTTGTCACACTCAGCTGTTTCTCCTCAACCATGCTGTGGCAAGGCTTTTATTTTCCCGACAGCGTCATTCCCCCACCCAGTGCTGCTCTCCCACCTGCTGGGCCTGCATCTGCAGTAGGTGACTGACTCCTTCTCAGAGCCAAAGCCAAGTTGTGAGTCAGGTTGCAAAGCAGCAGAGTCCGTCATTTCCATGTACCCATCTCTCACACTCAGAGGAATGCAGCCTCCTACATAGAGCCTGGGAATTGTTAACACATTTCCTGAAGCTCAGCAACTGTGAGTCATTGCTCAAAGCAACTCTTCCAAGCTGCAATTTCAGGGTCAAATCSTCATCTGGTGAATGTGCCCCTTCCTCCCTAGCTCCCACTGAAATGAAAGGCACTGGGCCTTCATTTATATATTTAAAACTTTGATCTTCCTGGAATTTTTCAAGATGTCTCAGCAGAGCCTTTTCAGCTGTACGGCTCACACTGTTCACTGGGGCCCTCTATCCCCAGCCATGACATTCAGCACTCAGGACTTCCAGGGCACTCTGGTAATGGGGTGCACTCTTGGGCATTGCTGTGGTGCCGGTACCTCCTCTGTCAGAGCAGCTTTCTCTCATTCTTCTCTTTAGTCTCACAGCCCCTTTATCTACAAGAGAAACGCTACTGTCCCCATCTGCTGAGAGATATGGAGGGTATGTCCCCACGGCACCTTGGAGCGTGTGCTAGGGCTGCTTTCCAGACTGCATGCACTCTCCAAGGAGGCTGAGCATGTCAAGATTTCCACATCCCAGACACAGCGTGGGAACACACAGAGCTGGGAAGGTTTAGGGTGGCATTAAGAGCTGGTTTTGAGCTCACCACACACGTATGTATAGTGGTGGCAGGGGGCCCACACTCTCAGCATTTCTTTTCAGAGCACTACAGATGTCCCCATGAGGAACAGTAACATTTCTACAAGCACTCAGGTAATACAGGTTGCTGAAGTTGATAGAGCTATACTGATTGAATCCATATGGCCSCAGGCAGTTCACACCACAACAAGCTGAGCACACAGCATAACTCACAGGACTCACCATAACCCACACCAAAAGTGGGGGACATCTGCTTGCCTGCGCTGCCTTTGCTGTGAATCTCATCAGCTTAATGGTCTCCTCCACTCTTAAGAAACCTCCCAGACATAACCACAGCAGATGTTGATGGACGTGGTGTTGATCCTGGGACACATGAGGACATGGTTACTGCACATCCACTGCCTTGCAAGGAAATCTTTACTGACTTTACTGGGCCAAATTTATCACTTGTCATCAGATTTTCAAAGCTAAAGGTACTGCAAAGTCAGTTGTTCGTGAGTCTCCAAAGGTGCTAAACTGGTGTTTGCTTGACATGGCTCCAGCACCAAAGAGTCTGATTCCCTTTCCACTTCCACTGAATAAGCCTTTCTGATTTCCTGCCTTCCTACACTCTTGTGTGACTGGGTTGTGCAAGGTAGAATGGTCCCCCCTCACATGCAAGTTCCCCCCTCCCATCACTGGTTACAGGAGTGAGCCACAGTGTACTCGGACAAGAGCACTACTCTTTAATAAGCCCTGAAGAATGGAAAGATTTTACAAAATGTAAGATGTTCATTCAATTCCAAAAGCCCTTAAACTCACAGAGGGAATATCACTGCTTTGGCAGACAACTGAGGTACCACATACAGTGCCTCTGTTTGATAACACAGAAGCAGACTATGGTATCCTATCAATAAAAATACAAAATACTATTGTTTGTGCACTTTCCTAAACAAATAATATTATCTTAAAATGTGAATCACTGTTATAATAGTTTTGTTTATTTACACAAATGCCTCAGTTGAGCAGCTGTGTGTTTAGAAACTTGCATTCAACTCCTTCTGGGAAGCAAATCCAAAAGATGCTGAATATCAGGCAATTTAATTAAAAACTTAAGGGGTTTTAGTGTGTCACTGATACATACATGTTGCTGCTCTGTATGGTTCAGCTTCCCAACTGTTAGCAGAAACCACAGGCTTCAGAGCACCCAGTACAGTGTCTAGCCTTAAGGGACCAGCTAACAAACTCATTTGGGGTGCAGAACACCAAATATGTGAAATCTTAACTCCCTCCAGAGGACTATTATAATTTACTTTTAAGTGGCCAACATCAACTAACATCTTCCAACTGAGATCACTGGAGCTACTCCTATTTCTACATGCCAAGGACCTCAGTGTCCAAAGTTGGGCTCTTAGAAAAAACACTGTCCCTACCCAAAAGCAGATGGGAACCAGAAGAATTCGTATTTAGTATTGGATTTAGAAGCTGAGAAATAAAGATGGGTTCTTTGAATTTTGCGTGTCACTACAGCAATGCTGAAGTTAYTGCTTGATTCAAACTGCAGCATTTGGATTTCACAAATGACGTTCATTCATGTTTGGGTTGCCCCATTTGAATCTGTCAGATTCAGTTTGAGTTGAAACTCTTCTGATGTCCAGGCCTACTTGCACACAGAGATGTGCTTCTGGCTTGTATCTATTCAAAATGCATCATTTGGAAACACTAGTGCCAGATTCTCCMTTGCTCTCAGAGGTTGGATATAGTCATTTAATTTTCTGCTATCAGCAGAGCTCCAGAATATCACAAATAAAAGATGTGATCAGGCAGAGAAGTCACACAGACTCAGGAAAACACGGAGCTCAGCTTGTCAAAAGTGTTTTCCTCCACTGAACAGCTRTCGCATGGGTAAACAGGGAACTGCTTTATTTTATTCCTGCTCTAGCTTTATAGCTTTAAGAAAACTCTTCTGATGCTGAAACTTGACCTTTGATTTTTGCTTAAAAAAAACTTAAAATGAACCAAAGGAAACATCTACATTACCACCTCCTGGCTGCTCAGCCATCTCCAGAATTAAATCCTTTCTTTGGGTCCTGACAGGTTTGGGGATGGGCATCCCTGGCTGGAATGTTGGTAATCTCACTGCACTRTCATGCTGCCCCATTACCTCACACTCTGCATTCTTTCTTCTTGTCTGGTGTAGGAGTACCTTCTGCAGCACTGCTCCTGTGGAGCTGCCAGCGTCTTCCTCAACTCGTACCAAGAGGTAAAGCCTTTTTTTACTGGGAGGAGCAGACCCCACAGCCTCTTGGTTCAGACTGGAAACCCTTCAGATCTTTCCATCATTCCAGAAATAGGAGCGAACATTGAAAAGCTGAGCAGCTGCAGTGGTGAGTTTAAATACCTCCAACCTGCCCGCATGCTTGTCACCAATGGGTGAAATAAGCTCACCAGCAACTTCCTTTTCCTTAGGAAAGGCAGAGGGAATCAAAGCAAGGTGTTAGCTTCCCAGCTAAGGTTTAATTTCACTAAGAGATGCATTTTAAAATGCTTTGGTTATGCTAGGATTTTAAATACTTGCTTCTCCATACATGTGAAAGAGGCCTTGGGGCCGAGTGAAGATGTGGTTACAGAGATTAAGACAAATGCATTACCAAAAGTGTTTGTCTGGTGGAAACTTGGCATGGCTGAATAAGCAGGTTAGCACAGCCCGCCCCGGGGACTGAGATCTCCCTCACCAAGACATGATTTGTTCTAAGGTAGGAAGCCTTAAGCCTATTAATAGTCTCCCACCATCTCAAGCAGGCAGGGAACACATTCCTGGAAGATGACTTATTCTATAGGCCAAGTAGAAATAAGTCACAGCTGCAAAGCTTGGATCCAGAGACCAACTCTTCCAGAAGGTTGAGAAGGACTGAACTTAGCCTGCTGATACTAAAGCCAGCCGCAATAGCTGCATTCAAACTTAGAGGTGAGCTAGCCCACTAAATGAGGCTGATTAATTTATTTTGAACGTTGGATCTGGGCCTAGCTCTAATACSTGGTGAAATGTACAGCAACATCACAAAATAAGACCATGAGGGAGCTATTAGAAAGTCTGCTCTAGTCAGACACTGTTTTGGCCTATTTGTATAGCAAACCAAGGTAGAAACAGTGCACTGTGGAGACTCCCATCCTTAGAGGGTCTCATCCCGTTTGAGGTCACAGMGTGCTGGTGGCACTGCCCAGAGGCCATGCTAGCAGGCTGCTGCCAAGGAATGTGAGCAAGCCCTTGCGTTTCACTGCAGGAAATGAGAGATACCCGGAATCAGGAAACAGCCAGCTGATGGCAGGGCTCAGGAAGTCATCAAACAATAGGAGCAACAAGGAAAACGAGTTCAGAGAAGCCTGTGGCGTGGCTGAGGGACMAGCTTTTCCATCAAAGGACACCGCAGTAAGGAAGGTGAGTGACAAGCTTGAAGCCAGACCCCTAGTGGGATCTGAGGAATAGGCAAGGAGACGTTCTGCTCAGGACAAAGCAGGGCTCCCAGGGGATCAAACTGGTCCTGTTTGCTACTAAGCATGACAGGAGCAGTGAGGACAGGGGGTTGTCTGTGCCTCCCTGGCCACCCTCAAATTRAAGTGGTGACTCTATCTATATGACAAGAAAGGCAAAACCATATCACATGCCTGGCACAGTGGAGAACAGCATCGCAGAGAGCAGCACTGGCCTTATCCTGTGCTAACTCCAGATGACCTGATGACTAAAGTACCTTCAGTACTGTCACTATTAAGATTAAAGCCAGGATACATTTATTAGCAACAGTGAACATCTTAGTGGGTTGACTGTCTTAGTATGCCCTTAGCTGGGGATGCTTATTACTAGACTGGCAGTGTGTCAGTGTAATTAACTTCAACCCCCAAAGCCTGTTTCAGAGAACCTCTATCACTGAAATCCAAGGAAGCCAGGGCTAATGCTTTTCCTCTCCCTCTCTTTCCCATTGTTTGTGGCTGTCTCAGCACTTTCAGGTTCCTGTGGGGATCAGAAGTGCTGAAATACCAGGGCAGAGGCTGTAATCGGAGTATTCCCAGCCTTACAGGAAAAAGGAAGGAGTAGGTCTCTCACGGGAAAGACCTTCTCATGAAATTTCCACCCCAAAGCTGCAAATGGGCAGCAAGCATTTGGATGAACTTCAGAGACCCAACAAGGCCAAATCCTGAAAGGTGCTTTATGTTCTGGCTTAYGTCCAGCAAAGTTCTTGAGTATGAACTTTATTTTAAGCACATGGGAAGCCCTGGCAACTTCACAGGGCTGCAAAATCAAACTCCAAAGTCCTTAACCTAAATCCTAGTGCTCTGTTATTATACCACACCTTAATACTATCTGTCCTTCCCAGTGTACCCTGAGCATGAACTATCCCATTTATTTTTACAACCATAGATACTGTAAGGGAGTTCTATTCCTGGGTTAACAAGGGCTATATATGTGAACTGGCACGCTAAACACGAAGAGAGGCAATGGTGGAGGAACGGAGATCATCGTCCACACGTGAAGGCCTGAATCACAAAGGGATGTAGGACTTAAGCAAGGCAAAGCTGAGAACAGAGCCCAGTCTTTTCCCTACACTTTGAGATGGTCTCATTTGCATGTTATTTATCCTTTTTTGTTTGTTTGTTTTTAGGGTCTGGACATCAGTAAGAACATCTCGGTAGGTACCGCCTTTGATGAGTTAATTTCATTTGCATATCTGCACTGTTGCAGACCAAGCCCTTATACACGTGTGCATTATACATGATTAAAGAGAATCACTTGACTCCCAAAGTGTATTGCAAATAACAGCCCCACATATGCTGTTCTGATTACGCCTGTCTATCTGTTTGACCTGTTCTCACCTCCTGAACAGCTAGCTGGCCTTCACAAGCAAGCACTCGCCCAGGCTTTCTCTGTTAACAGTGCTTGTGCTATTCTTAGTAATAAACACAAAGGTTCAATACTTTCATGGGTAAACAGCCTCGTTAAGAGCAATTAACAGCACTGAAACTGGTGCTGCAGTTTGCAGCTGAGCCCCTGGCTCCATCTGAAGCTTTCAGCTGAAATTTAGTGGAGCCTGAAGAAAAGTTACCACCTTAGGTTCTCCCTGGGTTGGTGTGTGAGCTGCTGGTGGGCACCAGGTTCTACTCTTGAGGTGGCCACAACGGCTCCTCCTGAGAGCTTCATAACACAGGCATAATTTCTGCCCACTAAGTTAGCTGGGGGCCATGTCCTTTTCATTCAGCCCTTACTTTAGGGAAAAAACATCCCATGTGGCAAAAATTATTATTATTTTTTTAAACATCGCTTTTTTGAAGTCCCCAGTTTGAGTTCAGTCCTGGTGGGAACATTAGGAAAGGCCTTATGGCACTTCCTGATCTCCTGAAAAATCACTATTAGCATTTCAAATGCAAGTGACCAATAGCTGTGGCTTACTGACAAGATAGGGAAACAAAGCCTTGATCTTGTTTAAATTCAGGGACTACAAAACCCTGCAACCTTGAAAAGAGCTGACATCAACATGCTTCTGCCCCAGCAGAAAGAAAGAGGGAGTTAAACTGCTCTTGGGGGTTGTTTTTGTTGTAAAAGACCCCTTGTGCGGATGTAAGGAGGTAGGAAACCACATCATGCTCTTTTCTTTTCCTGTAATACAGTGTAACAATAAGTTAAAATGTGCCCTTAGGCAGCTACTCAGCACTCACCAGCCAAGAGTTTTCTTCTCTGAAAGATTTAACTGAAAAAGAACGGCAGGATCCTGGACATAGCAATGTTACAAGGAGCAAAATACAAGAGAGCAGGTGTTACTGATAGTCCATCCAACCCATTTTACTGTGTAAATAAAAAACAAAGTCTTCCTAATCTTCCCAAAACAAATTCAAAGCAACAGTTGGCATCRTATTGACTGGGGAAGCTGCAGAACAGTGGGGAAGTCACTGCCCTGCATTAGCTCTACCAAGATGGAAGCTCTTGCTAGAACAATATTTTGAGTAGAAAACACCTCTCTTCCCATCATGATGGAGTACTCAAGTGTCATGTGTTGGCTGGGTGGGCTCTGCCAGTAACCAGTTTCTGGTCCTACAAGTTGTGGTTTGTTTTTGCTCCTTAGGGAGAAAGCCATGCTTGGGGAAGAGTGAGAGATCTAATGAGGAAGACACGGCTGAGAAACCAGAGCAAGCTGGGGCTGTCCTCTGCTGCTCTGAAGAGGTCCTGCCCACAGCTGTACAGGTAAGGCAGAGTTGTGGGAGGCTTTCACTTATCACTAGGAGGGGGTGTTGATTTACCTGTGGTTGCTGCTGAGCCAGAAGACCTGTCTGTGCTTCTCACTGCATCCTGATGGTTCTGGCTGGCTTTGCCTTTCTTCCTTAGCATCTAGATGCTCTAAGATCCCAGCAGGATGTTACCKGTGTGAGAAATAATGGAAAAACTCAGGTGCTTCCCTATAAAGAAGACACTTACATCCCCTAGGGCCAAGGGAAGCTCAAAACCATTCCATACCCTAACATATTTTCTTTTCAGTCCCTCCTAAGTACTGCAGTCAAGTTTAATGCTTTCCCCCATACTCCTTTACACTTTTCATCCAGAGGAATGCTAACACATGCATCTGATGCATCAGGATAAACTAGAAGGTTTCTCTTCAGAGGAAGAGGAGATATAATTTGTTGCACATGTGCTCTTGAGTGGTTCCCACTCATTGCTATGGATGGTATTCGGGGAAAGAACTGGGCCTCACCTCTGTTAAGAGGTCCATGACAGTGCCTAGTACCAGCTTAGCCTGTGCCCACCTGTGCAGTGCATGTCGCTTCCTGAAGTGATAGCAACCCATTGCACTGGTATTCTCCATATGCTTGCCAAGTGCTCACACCTGCCCTGCTGAATTTGTGGAGGTTGTGTATGTAACGAGCTAATGGGAAGAGCCTGGGTACCTTATTCAATGCAGCAAGACTATCCCATGGAGCTGGGCACTCCCCTGTGTTTTTTCAGCTGTGGCTGTAGTAATCTTGACGGAATAGCTCAAACATGCTTGAAACCTCCACTACAACCTCCTCGGGTTTTAGTGGGGGTGATGGTTGGGAAACAGCGGTTGTTTAAGCGCTCAGGAATGTCACACTGTTCCCCGTAGGTAGCCTGTACCTACATTACCAAATGCAAAAGGGAGCTTGGAATCTTGCAGTCGCAGCTGGAAAAACGTGTATAATTCATGGAGTGATTTTTCCAGCTGGGAAGAGCTCGTTGGGGCCCAAGTGCACGTAAGAGGCGAGCTTCCTCCCATTGTTTGGGAAACTGAAAGAAACACAAAGCAGAAAGAGATCAAACAGTTCCAGCTAAARTAGATAGTGACCCAGCTGGGGAAAAAATACAAACTCTCGTGAACCTCCCTGCTAAATCTGAATAGACACAAGCATTATTTGGGCTTCAGAAAAGTCCTGTCTCTGTAATCTCCTGCTTGGCCTTTTCTCTGTAGCACTAAACTTACGGCCAGTGCACCGTGCGTGAGAATTGCAGGCTAGATCCCATCAAGATAAATCAGCGCTGCTCCACGGAGGGGCCAGCCTAATAGCTCCCAATAGAAACAGCTCTGCTACCCCTGGGTGTGTGTTGCAGYCAGCTACAACGGTCACAGAAAGTTTGGAGAACGAGACCCCTGAGGGGCAATTTCTGACTGGGCTGGAACTGGAGAGCCCCAGAAATCACACCCCATCATTTCCCAGCCAGATTTCTGTTGCTGCTAAAATTGTCTTTCTCTTTTTCAACTACTAATGCTCTTCCTCCCACATATCTGCATACTTYCCCTGTCCCCACACGTGCCCTAGAACTCCCCCAGTCTTCCTTCTCCCCCTTCCTAGCTCCTGTTCCCCAGCCTTACTTTTCTTTGCTCTCACTTTCTTCACCCCACGTCCTTGGGTGACATTACATTGACATGGGCCTTTCACTGGTGCCTAGAAAGGTTGGGCACCCTCCTCCTATGGCATTTGGGGCACCTAACTGCCCTCAGGCTCCATTGAAACAAAAAGTTGGGCCTTAGGGGGTCAGTGAAAGCTCTGCAAATGCTGCTGGACGGAAGGCCAGGCTCTCCCCACAGCAATACCATGAAGCTCTTGCTTGGCTGCAGTTCTTAACATGAGGAAACATTAAAGTTCTCAGCATTTGAAGGCACTGTTTTTGTTCCAGTTTATRAAGCATATTTGCCCTGGCCTCTGCCCCATTTGTACACACAGCATATGGGATTGTGCTTACCCAGTTCCCTCCTTTCTGAGACATCTCTCAAGGTCTTGAACTGCAACAGGCTGAAGCCTGTTGCCCTGTATTTACATATAGCTCTGAAGGAAGCACGGGTTTTTTTTTTTTTTTTTTTTTTTGGCTTTTGACACCCATTCCCACTTGAGTCATTCAGGCAATTTGTTGTTGTAACTAGGTCAAAGCAAATCCCCTTTTGTGGTCCCACTCTGCATCTGATGAATGATCTGCTCCAGGGTGGGTTTTTTTTTTTTTTTTTTAACATCTACAAAAGAATTCTCAGAGTAGAGAGAACCCGGTGCTTCCAGAAGGAGAAAAGGGGGCCTGCCAAGATAAGCACACGGCACAAGACTCAGCGGTTTGTCATACATTGTTCTTAACAGGCTGAGTTTTTCATTTTTTCTTCTTTTTTTTCCTGGTAGTGCTTTTACTCCCACAAAGGAAAGTCTTATTTTATGCAAAGGGCAAGAACAGGCCAATGAATGAGTTGACTGCAGTGCATTGAACTTAAGCARCACATGGGCCTGAATCTGACCTATGGCAGAGAGATAGATTTCTTCCCTAAATCACGGGGGAATGATCCCTCTGCCCTGAGCAAGGAACACTTCCTCAATGGCCCCCAAGACATGACCTTTTTGACACTTGGACTTTGTTTTAGCACTTGAAATTTATTCTCAAATGATGGCTCAACATCAAAAAGCCAAGATTGCCCCAGATAAACACATAAACAGGCAGATGCTAGCTTGAGTGGTATGGAGAGAATCYAGTCCAGCCTGTGAAAACTAGGCTGCCAGTTCTGCATAATTTTATTGCTTATCTACTGCCTGTCAGTTTGACATTATAAAATACATTGGGAGACACACCCAGCTTGGGAGGTGAACAAGCTTTGGAAAATCACAGGTTGGCATTCTTGYTCAGATGCAGCTCAGGCTGTATCTAGGGGAGCTGCAGCTTTAACAGCTGTGTGTCAACAAATCAAGGTAAAGCTAGTATCTACCAGTATCTTTCACTGGTAGGATGATGGTCTCCATTTGACAGCCACACAAAAGCTGTGTTTTAGCTGGGGCAGAGTCAGTTGGGCAGTTCCGAGCATGGCCTTTGGAAGGCTTGCACAAAGGCTGAGAAGTTCCCCAGAAGCAGAGCTTGAGCASTGCTCAGGTGCAGCTCTGAGCACTGCAGTTCACGGGAATTACTACCAAGGGACATCTCCACTTGCCAGAGCTGTGGGGTAACCAAAGAATGAGAGAATAGAAGTCCAAGCAGATTCTCAGTTATTTCATTGTATAAGCTGATGAAACAAATGCTACATTGACATTAGAAAGAAACCCAACTAGTGGTTAGAAGAGAAAACAATTCTGCATCACGGCAAACATGCCTTCAGTCTGAAAGTGTTATCRGTAGCTTTAAAATATTACTTAAAAACAAAACAAAAGGCAAAACAAAAAACATTTTTCTTTCTTAAAACAGCAACCATTTAAAAAGATGTTCCAAAAGATTCTTCTCTCATCAGACTGGAGGGCAGACCTAACCAAGCTATTAAAACCCCACTGAACAGATTATATTTATTTCAAATACATGGGGTATGCAGTGAGGAGGGAAGGACAAAACAAAGCAAACACACATTAAGCTAGATAKAGTCCAGAGCAGCTAGTTTAGTCTTGTTCTTTGCAATGTCTCRTTTCCTACTTAGTACTTTAGCCAGAACTTTAAACTTCCCTATGACATTTATCCACTAGCCTGTCCCCCACCCTCACCTCCAGCTAAGCAGAAAACACTGGCTCTTCTCAACTGATAAACACAAATTTCTTTTTCTCGTGTTATGACTCCATGCTAAATGATGAATGTCATAGCTCCCTTTTTGGATACTGCCACAAATATTTGAACAGTGTCTCTTCTGAAATTTCAGACTAAATGGGAGGGAAATGATTACTAGGGGTGCACCTTTGGTGTTGGGGACATACGCACAGAACATTAATGCTATAAAAGGGCCATGTATTCTGACTACCATCAACTTTACTTGTATTTTTCCATTTGTTAAGGCCAGATACTATGTCTTTAGAGCTGAGGAAAACTGAGAGGAACTCCATGATTGTTCTTGGACAAAATACGAAGAATGAAAACATATGGCCTTTCTGATAACCCAAATCAAAGGGAACAAGGTAAAATAATTAACAAATGAGGTTCTGCTTGTCTTCTGTTTGTTTTTGCCTACCCTGAGGAGTGACATAATCTTCTTCCTTCATCCAGATGTACTCCAACACACAAAGAGTGGAATAGATCAGATTTTGATGTTCAAGCTCTATGGGCTTTTGGCAGCCAAAGCTTGGCCCATACACTTTCTAATACCCTCCCCCACTTATTTTTTTTTTTTTTTTTTTTAATTCAGTAACTTTAGGGCCTCTGATCAAGGCTTTACCACACAAAACATTTGCATTGCACTCTGGAAATGCAACAGAAAATTGTTATCTGGGGCCTTAATCAAAAGACTTTTATTGATAAGGCAACCGTACATCTTGGAAATGAACAATATGCCACTAATCAAAGTTAAAAAATACCCACACAGATTAGTCTACTACAGTAAAAACTCAGGCTGCTAATTAAGCATAAAGAAGCACTTTCTAATGTCTTTTCTGTATTTTCTTGTTTCAGAAAGGAAAGAGCAGGAGCACCAGTGGACACAAATGAAGATGCCAGGGTTACTTTGTGCAAGCTGCATCCTACAGCAGTTGACATGGCAACTCTGGTTTGATGTTGAAAGAGAAGAGCAAGAGCAGTGAGGTGAAGAGAGGTTTGTGGAAGGACATGTACTTGACTATGCACAGCTTCACTCCCAACTCAGAAGTATACTTACAGAAATCAAGACACATGAAAACTCTGGTCAGCATTTCAGCAACATAGCCAATAGGGCCTCTTCAATAAGATCTGGCAACTCTTTCTCTGCTCCGGATTGGGGCCTGAACAACCTGAAGTACTGAAGCTTTTAAGTTATGGAGTTTTGGAGATTTAAGCTTATTTCAGATGGAGAAGACTTATAGGAGACAACAGTGCCAGGAGAAGTGCTAGAAGGGTAGCAACACTTGATGGGGCAAATTGCTTCCTCCCTCAGGAGGTTTGAGGTACAGTCTCTGYTCACACCTACAGCAGCTCCTGTCCTTAGAGCTGCACCAGCCAGCAGTGCAGACCGGGGGGCATCCAACAGAAAAAAAATAAGTCTGTGAAGCAAAGACCTCCTGAGAGGCCATTCCTAAATCCACCCTTTGCTTCTAATTCTGCAAGGCTGCTTCTTWTGTGAAGGTCCCTTAACTTTAGTACTGCCCTGTGCAAAAACAGGCTTCAGGGAAGACTCATTGCAGCAAGCACTGCAGGGGCACTGTGGGTCTTCTGAGACACCTGAGGGTTCATCAGAGACTCTCTCCAGCTCTGACAGGCTGCTCTTCTAGTCTTTCAGAGGACCAAGCTTCAATTCCCATTTTTAAGTYAGAGGCTAAGGAACCCYRGGAGGCTGCCWTGGCCACAGGATGKTGTGTGCTGGACCTGCACTCCCTCTGCTGGGAGCGGGCCTGGGGGAGAGCAGGGCTCCAGGACTCAGACAAGGAGGCCTTACAACACTCAGGCTGTTTGGTGACTACCTTCTTGCCCTGTGTTCACTACTTTCAGACTCAGGCCAGAGGCAACATGTGCAGATAACAGAGRTCCYATGATTGCTCTGGTCTCTGCACACYASCTGTTATTGGTACTAGCTTTCAGGCACATAGGGTAGGAATTTAGATAAGTCAGCTCTGCCTCTTGTTATAAGCCTATTCTACTCATTAAACTATGATTTAATTGTAAAATAAGTTGAGTAACTTCAGTTGAGAACCCCCACTGATCCTACATGCTTGGACACTGAGGCTTGAGAAGCCAGCAGAATCAGGCATGAACAAGAGCTGCCTCACTTGTGCTCACCCAGCTCAGCCCCTGAAGTCCACTGACCAGGAAAACAGGACCTGAGATTCAGAATATCCCAGTTCCAGGATCTGAGTTCCAGTAGCAAGCAACACAATGAAGTGAAAGAGTTACTCCTGGTTTGAACAACAGCCCMCACAGGCAGCATGGCTGTAGTTCATGGGGTGACCAGAGGCAGCCCAGGCCCCTTTTCCCAGTGCTCAGAGCACTTTTGGGAAACTTCAGCAGGGCTGTTGTTAACATCTCAAAAAAGTTTGTGCTGGCTCAGAGTTAGCAGCCTGAAGGAGGTGTTGTCTTCAGTGTTTCAGTTGAGTTTTAGCTGCTGTAGGATTCAGACATTCACTGTCTACCTTGCTAGCTTCACTCAAAGCTAGAGATATCTCTAACTTGATTATTCTGTGAATAGTCAACATATCTCCATAAATACAAGGGGCTGAAATCCTACATTATCTTACACCCTCCATCATCCCTGCAGCTTTGAGACTGTAAGGAATGTGAATCTGTGTAGAACTGGACTGAAGTATTTTAAAGACTAGCATCATAAACTGATATTTTTGTAACTATATTTGTCTTACAGATTTTTAAACTAGAATGAAATAGCTTTTTTACTACAGCATAATATGAAATATATTCATGTATTTCCAGAAATATATTTAACATGTAACATATTGTATAGTTCTCTACTCCAGGATGCATTGTAATACAAGCATAAAATTTAATAAAAAGCATTACTATTATGAAATAAATTTGTTGCAGGTGTTAATAGACACCAAGGCTGGAAAATGTAAATGGCTACACACATCTCAAGGCTTCAGGTGAGTACAACTGGTCAAGAAAAAAAACCTTTACCTTTGGTTACCATTAGTTCTACAAAGCAGATGTGCTCTTCAGAGACTGCCACTGATCTCACAGAAACTCAGAGGAAGAGAGGAGCCTTTGGAGAGGTCACGGATAGTGCCTGACAGCAGCACTTGGTGTGGGACAGCTCTGATCCTGGAACCCGACTGCAAAGCAGGCAGACACTAACAGCCAACACTGGGAAAGGGTGAAGGGTGCACAAACAYRCAGAATTAAGAGGAATTTCCAAAAGTCTGCATTCATTAGCAGAGCTGCACCACAGCCCTTTCTACCAGAGGCCAAGGCAGAGACCCAACATTTGCGTGACTGATTTGGCAGCTGCTCACAGGGCAGGACACCTACTGCCACCACCTCTCTCCTAGGGAGAGCATCCCTGAGGCCAAGCCCATACACTCTGTCACCCCTGAACAGGGAGCTAGCGGCGCTCACATGGCACAACACTCCCACTCAGAACTACAACTCGCAGAGGAAGCCAGCAAGAGCCACCTAAATGGGACAAGAGGCCTCGGAGGAAGGCCAGGGCTTGGCCTGGGAACAAAAGCAGGGGGAAAAAAGAGCAGTTTGCAGGAGGCAGGACCACGGTGCAGAGAGGTAGCTAAGGGCACTAGCACAGCCTGATGGAGTCAGGGAAAGAGACAGGCTGGAGGAATGGGGAAAGCCAGCCCAGGAAGAAACCTCTGGGTTACATGCCTTTGCCCGAGACAGGGCTTCACAGGGGCAACTCAGCCCCCAGCTTTGCTCATGCCCTTCCCCTCCTACTAGGTACCACAGAGGTATCCCTTAAATACATTTGTCTGCCCATACAAGGTAAAAGAGAATTCTTTTTGCCTCCTTGCTGCCCCCATTCCAACTTGTACTCAGTTTCAAGCAATCATACATGTCCTGCACTCTTCAGGGCAGGAGAAGCAGCTTCACATACAGCACCACGAGGCAGCCCCAGCTGCAGAAAGCTCTACCATGCATTCAAAGGCTGCTTCCCTTTCAGGGAAACCCTGGGACACGTGCAGTGCCCACCAGCAACATCTCAGCTTCCCCWGGCAGCCACATCCCAGCACTGCATCTCCCAGGTATGAGAGATCAGACCATGGGCTTCAGTTAGTTTTGAAAGTGGCTGCAAATGCAGCAGGAGGAATAGAGAGGAAGACTGATGGAGGCAGCTTCGCCTCCCAACCCCCCAGCACCTCTCCTGTTTCACACCGCAGCTTCCCAGCAGAGCGGGCAACAGCAAGGGCCCCCAATAGAGAGCAGCAGATCCTCACTAACCTCAGAGCAGGCCAAGTAAGWCCACAAGACAGTATTGGGAAATCAGTCTCACCTGCCAGGGTTGTGTTTTCTGGCTGCCACAGACAAGGGCCTAGAGGCAGAGCCCTGGAACACACTCCTGCTGCCCCTCAGGTGCTCCAGGTCAGGTGGAAGGATCCCCAGGGCCAAGCYAGGTTTAAGAGCCACTTTATTGGAGTGCATGGGTTTCTTCACACATTACAGGGGCCTTCCTCTGCCACAGCACAGCAGCCACAAGCAGCGCACACAGGACGGCGCCAGCAGCCACCGCAGCAACACCCAGAGCCCAGGGCGCTGCCGCGAGCACCGCCGCTCCTGCRGGAGCGAGAGGCCTGTCAGGGACCCCGGCCCCGAGGCACAGGAGCACCCGAGGTTCTCCTTCCATAGAGGAGCCTCTGGGGCCAGCCTGGGCAAGGCAGGCCCGCACACTTACCAAGGCCATCCATGGCAGTCCCCCCTCTCAGCCGATCCTGGAGGAGAATCACAGGGCCCTTGCTGGTGACATGGGAGGCTCCCTCCTGCAGGCCACCTTCAGCACTCCTCCTGCCCCCTACACAACAGCAGCAGTCTCAGGCCATGGCATGTGTGGCCTCAAACACTGTGTTGGGCAGAGACACCCCTGCCAACACCCAGTCTCACACAGCAGCAGATGGTTTGTGTTCCCACTGCACGGGTTGCCACATTTGGTCCAAATCCCCCTCTCAACAGATACCACAACCTCCAACTGAGCAAGGAGCACAATTGAGGGCCCATGAAGGCCTCTGCTTCCTTGGCCTAAGGAGGACAAGAGCCCTTCCTCRGCAGAAAGGAAAAGGCCCCCAGAGAGCACTAGCAGCAGAACTAGTCAGTAGYATCCACAGTCTAATTCCCTTCCCCCTCAGCTGGGAAGCCAGTCCTTGCTGACCCTGGGGGCAAGGCAGCAGCAAGGACAGGGCACCTACTGGCTCCAGCCAGACAGGCTGCGATGGTGCAGGATTCCTGTAGCAACCGGTGGCACACCGAGGCAGTGCAGTGCAGGAACACCTACAAAGAAGGGACAAGGGCCTCGAATCAGACAACTGGACAGGTCTCAGAGATGGGGAGGCAATAAAGGTGCTCCGGGTTGCTTCGCCTATTCACTTTAAGCTGGTGGAAAGAACAGAGGCGTCCCAGGCACCTTTTCTACCTACCACACAGACTTCAAATTAGGGGCCCCTCCGGAGCTACGCTGCTCCCTACACCTGGGATGAGCACAGCTCTCCAACACCACTGCTGTGAGCACTGGCTTTGAGTACTGATCCCAGCACTACTGGGCAAGCAAGGAAGCCATGGTGAACTCCATATGACTCCTGCTCAGAAATCTGAGAGGGAGCCCAGACACTTCCTAGGTTACAAGAGCTACTAAGGACTTTGGGCCAAGAAGGCTTAGAAGAGGCCTCATCAATGTGGCTAGACCACATTCCCCAAGCAGSCTCAACACAGCAGCTTAGGAAGGCAGCAGACTGGCACTTACTGCCCACTGTTGTTATTTGATCTCAAGAACACACTAGGCTGCCAGGACAGGATCTTACCAGCCCAGAGAGCATCTCTTGGGAAGCGGAGTCCACAAACGTGAAGGTGTAGAGGGTGAAACGCTGGTAATGAGAGGGGAACRGCAGGCCTGAGGCCCCAGGGAGAGGCACCAACTGTGTCTGGTAGTTGTCCCCTTCATAGGGACACCTGAGAGGAAAAGACCAGCAATCACRAGGTGTCAGGCCCTGTTYGAGCCACAGCACTCTCCACAGATACTCACCCATCCACCAAGACAGGCCACTGTAGCTGTTGATGAGGGCCAATACTTGGAGTAGCCCAGCAGTGGTGCAGGACAAGAAGCAGGTCTGGGTCTGTCCTCTGAAGGAGCCGCACTTCCACATAGAGGGGGTCTCTCAGAGCCTTCACCACAGGATAGTCACTGTCCATATAGTAGGACCTATACCTTTCRTCTGCACCACAAGAAATACATAAAAGTCACTTTAGATCAGGAGAGGCAGTTAGGGACAGCCACACCAGCAAGCCCTCTATGTGGCAGGGGAGAAGCAGTGCCAGCATTTGCCCATCACAGBCCCATTATCACCAGATTAGTTATTGAGTTATAGTCATAGATAGRTATCTATAGATAGTTACAGAGCTCTGCCCCCAGAGGTACCAGCAAGGGCTGTGGCCCTCCTACCTGCAGCAATGCGCATCTCCAAGGACAGAGGACCAGGCTCGGACACAGCAGGCAGCGGTGGCACTGTGAACACCTGAACACTCAAGGGGATGAAGTTCCCAGTGATGGAATAACT